GTTAGTTCTAAAATTTTAACCAAGTTTGTTCTAATTTATACCAAGTTAGTTCTATTTTATACCACGTTATAAACCTAATTTATACCACGTTATATCTCATTTATACCACGTTAGATCTAATTTACTAATTTATACCAAGTTAGTTCTATTTTATATCACGTTATAAACCTAATTTATACCACGTTATATCTCATTTATACCACGTTAGATCTAATTTACTAATTTATACCAAGTTAGTTCTATTTTATACCACGTTATAAACCTAATTTATACCACGTTAGATCTAATTTATACCAAGTTAGATCTATTTTTTACTACGTTATAAACCTAATTTATACCACGTTAGATCTAATTTATACCAAGTTAGATCTATTTTTTACTACGTTATAAACCTAATTTATACCACGTTAGATCTAATTTATACCAAGTTAGATCTATTTTTTACTACGTTATAAACCTAATTTATACCACGTTAGATCTAATTTATACCAAGTTAGATCTATTTTTTACTACGTTATAAACCTAATTTATACCACGTTAGATCTAATTTATACCAAGTTAGATCTATTTTTTACTACGTTATAAACCTAATTTATACCACGTTAGATCTAATTTATACCAAGTTAGTTCTATTTTATACAACGTTAGATCTAATTTATACAAAGATAGTTCTAATTTAAACAAAGTTTGTTCTCATTTTATACCAAGTTAGTTCTAATTTATAGCAAGTTAGTTCTGTTCTGCACAGTGTTAGTTCTATTATGTAGAACGTTAGTTTTATTCTGTAGAGTGTTAGTTCTATTCTGCACAGTGTTAGTTCCGTTCTGTAGAGTGTTAGTTCTAATCTGCACAGTGTTAGTTCTATTCTGTAGAGTGTTAGTTCTATTCTGCACAGTGTTAGTTCTGTTCTGTAGAGTGTTAGTTCTAATCTGCACAGTGTTAGTTCTATTCTGTAGAGTGTTAGTTCTAATCTGCACAGTGTTAGTTCTATTCTGTAGAGTGTTAGTTCTAATCTGCACAGTGTTAGTTCTAGTCTGTACAGTGTTAGTTCTATTCTGTAGAGTGTTAGTTCTATTCTGTAACCTGTTCCGATCCAAGTCAGTTCTGCTTTATTACATGTTAGTACTATCTGATACCAAGTTAGTTCTATGTGATGGCTTGTTACTCCTAGCCCCTCGAGCGCATCGAATAACTGAGATGTTAGTTCTATTCTTTTAAGCGTGTTAGGCCTAATATGATAGTTGTTTTGTTACTTACAACTTTTTATCTAGTGTAAGCTAATGTTAGTTCCCGATTAATAAGAATAAACATTCAATCGAAAAAACAAAATATTTGTTGCATACTGGGACGAAAACACTTCAACATATCAAACACTTAGTCAGCTATAGATTCATTACATGTTTTACGGTTATGACCTTCCATATGACATCGAGAACATTTTACTAGCCGCGTGTAAACAGTTCTGTTGTTGATACGCCTGATTTTATTTCTCCCTTTCCTTTTTGTTGTAAGTGGAGGTAGGATCTGTATCTCATCCCTTGGCACGATGCGCTTCTCAAAGTCAGGGATAGGGTAGAGGATTGGCTCATAGCTTTTTTTAAAGGCTTCACCCGTCATAAACCAGTCACAGAACTGGTAGACATCCCTTTTCATAAACATAATGGATGCGCATGCATGTTTGCAAGGGACACGGGTTACATCCCACCCACGGCAAGTGCATGTTTTATTGTCTAGATCCACTTGACAAGATCTATGGGATTGTACCTCAAATAATCCTGTGTGGGACTGACGAACCTCCAATGGACGGCCATTTTCCATGTTCTCTTTGAGAGCAAGTTCAGCTTTGGGGCAAAGAAATTGATTCCAGCTTTCAGCCATGGTTCGTCGCTCATTCATACGAACCATAATCTGTTTACGTATGTGCTCTACCAGTTGAAGTATCCGTAGTAGCCTAGCCTCATGTATCCATTTGTTGAATGACTCTGCAACATTTGATGTAACGTGACCATATCTGAAACATAATAGGGAATTCGTCAAGCGGCTTATAATAGTCATGTAATGAAATAGCTTATAACTTACCTAACTCCAGGAAAAAACGCATTGGCCCAGTTTTCTGGAGCGTAGTTCATCACAATATTGTAAGCTCTTTCGTCAACCAGTCTAATGTCGTCCATGTAATCGTTCCATTCTGCTCTAGTATATTTGTAACAGGCAGATTGCAATAGATTACCCAAGATCTGAGTATCTTTTGATTTGAATCCCAAATCCTTCAACTTTGTCCTGAAGTTCTCAACTAGATGCAACACACATCGAGAGTGTATAGAATCTGGAAAAAATTCTCTAACTGCTTCTCTGATCCCCTTATCCGCATCTGAAATTATCACTAGCTTGTGTGGAGGGTTGTATGGATCTGGCCTTTCATAGAGAATAGACCACAAACCTACAAAGAGTTGTGGTTACCATACACGAATTATAGAGTTAGCAATGAATGAGCTAGAATTATCATAACCTGCAATACAACTAACACAGCTAGGGATAGAACTAACCTTGTAAGAACCACTTCCAGTTAACGTTATTTTCCTGATCGCATATACAGTACGCTAATGGAAATATCCCCTGATTTCCATCATATGCTACGGCGCTTAGGAGTATGCCTTTGAATCGATCTTTAAGAAAGGTATCATCCAAAAATAAGAGTGGTCTACAGCCGTATAAAAAACCATTTATGCAGGCGGCGTAGCATATGAATAACCTTGTAAACCTCCCCTCATGTTGTTCAACATGAATATAGCTACCTGGGTTTGTCTTCTTGACCTCTTCTACATACCTAGAAAATTGAAGATTAAGCGTTAGTACCAACATTGAAAAATTAGTATAATCAACGTCACATAAAGGAAATTAGTTTGTCTTTTGTTAGATATCAACTTCTATTTACCATCGTAATTGATCGTAGGACTCACGGGCATCACCATATAATTTCTCTTGTGCTCTTTCTTTACCCCACCAAATCTTACTATAATCGACCCTAATCCCATACGAGCTTAGAAACTCCTTTTGAACGTCAATAGGCCGTATATCCGGTCGAACCTTTAACGTGGGTTGTAATTGGGTAGCAATGAATCGTCTTGAGGCTCTAGATTGACCAGCATTATTACCATGCTGCCCATAACTGTGATTGTCCATAAACCTTTTGATTTCAAGTCTATTATCAATTTTCGGTGGAGAGGCAAATAACATCCACGGATAATTTTTGGCTTCCTTAAACCGACAAAACACTCGAATACGCTTCGGTTCATTCTTCCCAAACTCGTATTCGAATTTTTTTGCCATGGAGTAGTATAGCAAGGCCAATCTTAACTCCTTCGCACTTTCAAATCGTTGTCCCTCACCGGTTAAAGCTGTGTGCCACCAAGCAGGAATCATCTCTGATCTGCTAATCATGTCATTAATCGTCATGACATCATCTCCGGAAGGATTGTCATTGGGATTCTTATCTGGAACACTTGTGGTCCACAACGCCGACGGGCCACGGTCTACACTTTTTGAGTTCAAACTGCACAAATAGTAGAAGTATCAACAGATAATAGCAAAAGCTAAAAAGCAAAAACGACAATTGCTTGCTGTTAGAATCAATTAGAACTAGAATAATCCCCTACAGTGTTAGTTCTATTCGGTAGCGTGTTAGTTCTAATAATATGCACAGTGTTAGTTCTAATCTGTAGTGTGTTAGTGTCAGTTCTAACTGATGGCTTGTTAGTTCTATTTTATACCTACATTGTCTAATTTATACCACGTTATATCTAATTTATAACAATTAGGACTAACAATATGGGAACTATAGTGGAACCAGCAATAACTCTAGTAGAACTAACAAAATAGCGATTAGAACTGACAAATAAAACATTAGAACTCTAGTATGGAGCATAACAAAGAACTGCTTAATGACAAATAAAACATTAGAACTGAAGTCCAGTTAAACCTAGTATAGAACTAACAAGAAGACGATTAGAACTTAAGTTAATTGATTTTACAGTTAACCTACATGTCTTGTCGGACTTGCTCGTTTTCCTGTTTATTCGAAGAATCATCTCCTTCTTTAAATGCTTGCACGTGAACCTCTTTCAGTCCAAGATTGTGGCAATGCTCCACCATAGACGTCAGATCACCATCGTTCTCAATGAGAAATTTTAAGCTTCCAACTGTTTGATCTTCATATGCCAAAATTAATGACTCGTATGGAAGATCTAACCTCTCTGCCGCATCAAACTTGAGATCCAAGATGGTGGTTGAAGAATTAATCTTCAAGAATACCGCTTTATACTGTGAAGAGACAATGCAGATGATGTCCTTTTCAGCCATTTTGAAGGGATAGTAAGAGTAATGGAGAGAGTTATGGAGAGAATTTTGGTCTGAGGAGGAGTAATGGAGAACTAACTAGTTATTGCTCATGATGGAGTAAAAAAAAGGGGAAAATTTCCCTCCATTTTCCCCATCATATCGCATTAATGAGAAGTGACTTCTGTTGTTCGGGACCAGGACTCGTCTGGGGAAGAAAGAGAAGGGCAGTTTCGGTTTTTTTGCAAAATACGATCTGCTTTTAGTATAAAGCTGACGTGGAGGGGGCTTAAAACATTAAAGCTCAACTTTTGGGGCTATTCCACATGGGGCAAAGTACAGGGGGGCTAGTCACACGAAGTTCCCACTTTTGGGGCCTGGACACATTTTTCCCTAGTTTTTAATATGTTGGTACGCAGGAAACCTCTGAAAATATAATGCAACATAAAAAGACTATCACGTACACTCATAGAATGCTAGGAACTTAAAACTCTTGACATTCAAAATCTGGTAGAATTGAGTTCGAATCCTCCCTGAACCAAATATACCGATAAATAAATGAACAAGATACTTACACATTTGAGGATAAAAGATTCAAGCCTACCAACCAGGTAGAATACTAAACAAAGCAGCTGAACACAAACAGCTAAGTTTACTCATTTGACTCAATTAAATATTACAAATTGCATTAAACCAACGCTGGTTTGCTCAAAAACAGCGTTCTGGATTTCTCCGACTACTCCAAGATTCAACAAAATCCAAACTTCCAACTTCTCTTTCTAACATTTTATAGGCCACGGTATATTATTGACTATAAATTACACAAAATAAATATCTTATAAAATTACATATTTGCAGCAAACCCATCAACGGTATATCCAACCTTATCAAACCTCCCTCTCTCGCTATTCTCTCTGAACTTTATATAATCACAACATAAAAATGGTTTATAGATTCTTTCCTCCCCCTCTTCCAATAATTCTTGAGGTGCCGATACTATCTTCTCATCCTCAAAACACCAAAAGAAAGCCAGAGAAAGGCGATGAACAGGTTTTTTCAACACAACTCTATGTTGAGATGATCTCAGTCGCCCGTTGCTCCAAGCCTGCAACAAATCTCCAATATTTACTACTAGTCTGCCTCCGACAGGAATTATGTCCATCCATTTTCCTTCCTTTGATTTCACTTGAAGTCCACCAACATCATCTTGGTATACAATTGTTATGCAACTCATGTCAGTGTGCATGCCAAGCCCTTCTTTCTCTTCTAACTCTATGTCTCTTGGTGGAGTGTAGCTATTTATGCGCAGATATCCATGACATTTGCTAAATTCAGATCTGAGATATTTTGTTTCAAAGCCATCACCTAAACAGTTTAAGAGAATGGTCATGATTCGCCTTGATAACTCCATCATCTTGTGTCCATATTCTGCCAATATTTCACTACATATAACGACAATTATAAGTTAGCGCACGAACGATAGAAATGTTTGATGTGATAAGAGAGAGAATATTTTGTGCATACTTACCAAAATTCAATGTTAGGGTTTTCGAAGAGGACAGCGGTTGTGATCTTTGCAGAGGAGGAGAAGTTTGGGCCGGAAATACGTAGACTTTCAAAAAACGGTGATGCAATGAAGTGAGGTGTGTAACTGTTGATGGAAGATGAGGGTCCTAACTTGAGTTTGATGTCAGGGGAGAGAGAAAATGCTTGGTTAGAGAGAGTACAAAGTTTAGTATAGAGGTCTTTAGAGATGCCATGTTCAGTAATATGGAAAAAACCCCAATCTTTGCATGCTTGTGAGAGAGAATAGAGAGATGAGGATGTCATGGGCTTGGACATGTCCAAGATAGGGAGCTCTAGAGGTATCTTGGTGGACTTAGACATGTTAGAGAGAGAAAGTAGTTCAAGAGAGAGGGAGAGGGAGCAAGTTGGTTTGATCTACTTGGCCTGGCATTTATATTAGAGAAAAGAACAAGTACATACCATAAAAAAAGAAAAGAGTATTGAACAAACTTTCTATTTGCAAATAACAGTTACCTCTAGGCCCCACGTAATGTAATTGATCTATGCATCCATACACGAGATATAAAAAAATGTTTTATGCAAAGTCAAAGAGGAGAGGTTTGAATACTTAATGTAGGTCATAGCTACCAGAATGTTAGGAGATGGTACAGAATTTGTCAACCTTTAAAACCTAATAATAAAAAAATTATGGGCTCTATTATGCATGGCTTTTTTTGCTTAATTTGTTTTGAAAGTGTGCAAAAATAAGAGTAAGATTGCCATACAATTATCTAAAAATACAAGCTTAATTTTAGAGCAGAGATTAACCCCACCATTTCATATTGAGTCTCAACTACATAGCATTTCACCGAAACCTGGGCATTGTTTGTTAGTGAAAAGGGGGACATCAAGAGATGTCTGTAGTTGGTTATGAAGTATTTTTGTGATGCTTAAAAGTACAACCTAAAAGTTGTTAGTAGTTTATAAACTATGATTAGCTTTATGTTCTTTCATGAACACTTGATAAATAAACAAAAGTTAAAGTCAGCTTCCTTCTTAACATAAAGTTTTTGTACGAAGTCGCACTAAAAGTTGATGGTAGCTTCTTAAGAGAGAACCTGTTTAATATTTCAGCAATCTCAGATGTTTAACAATAGTAAAATAGTAAAAATGGAAAAGTAAATCTTTCTAAATTCTATCTTAGTAAATTGTAACAAATGGAAAACTCAAACCACAACAGATTGGAAACTTGCATTTAGAATGCTAAAAATGTTCTTCTGCTGACAATTTCAGCTACTTTCTCCTACAGCATAACAACTAAAAATGTCGACATACTAATAAAACCTGAAGCTGATGTTTGAGAGGCCAACACAGCCCTCTCATTTCATCAAAAAGCATGTACACAGAAATATAAATTGCACATTTCCTGATAAAAGAAGCTTGGATCGACTTCATAAAAATTTAGACCATCTTAGTAAACAATTACCCAAATGAAGAAATCAAAGTGAATATTTTCTTCAATTGCCTAAGGGGCTAAATTTGTTGTGATTTTCTGCTAATTGGGAGGCCAATACAACCGGTTCCAGGTTACCATGTTCAAAAAGACTTCATTTATACATTACACTAGCTATAAATATAGATAATCAACAACTTCATCCTTGTGTTTTTGCTGAAACCTGCAACCTATGTCTTGAACTATAATTTTTCCTGAGTTGAATTAAAACCGATCAGGGATAAAATATTTATTATCCTATCAGATGCAAGCAGTAAATTACAGTACTGCAAAACATGTGCAAGACTGAAAAGTGAAGTATTATTATGTTAAATATCAATAACCCAAATATTCATCGACGTTGTTACAGGGGACATTGGAATATGAGAAGTAATTTAAAGGATTAACCACTTAGACCAAGAAAAAATATATATAATAGCATAGTTGCACAATATTTGCTTCTAAAAAGTCAAATATCTTATTCCAATTGGTACATGCATATGATTAGAAACTCAAATGTTAAATCATTAAACTAGTAATATGCATAACATGGTTTGCCTGTATTTTTAGAATTATTAACATCTATTCCAAGGATCATTACTTATTTCTTGGAGGTACCCTGTATCTAGACCTTGCATTGTAGTTCAAAGGAGCATAAGATATAGGTAACTAACTTCAGACTAAAAAACAAGTATCTGATATATTGGAAAAAGTAAAAACAAAAGATCTTATACCTACCTATTGATTCTGAGGCTATAAAATCTTACTAAAAAGTATACTGCAGATAATCAATAGAAGTGAATGGTGTATATGATTGTATATATTGACAAAAGAGGAAGTGAATGGTGTATATGATTGTATATCTTGACAAAAGTGAATGGTGTATATGATTGTATATCTTGACAAAAGTGAATGGTGTATATGATTGTATATCAATAGAAGTGAATGGTGTATATGTTTATCATATAAAAGGAGGCATTTAATGTTATGATCAAAGATAATGCACACTTCATGTGTGCATATTTAGTTTGCTTAATCCGCTCAAAAGTAGCCAAATAATTGGCTCTTACAACATTCAGAGACTATATAGCACAACAGCATTGAAATTAATATTGTGTATCAAACAGAGTGATTGACTAATGAAAAGTCTACTCTCTTTAAGAATCAATTGTTACAGCTATAATGTTTGCTTGTTGGGTATCTAACAACCACAATCGTTCAGAGTGAACCCTATTAAATCTTGTTTTAATTAAGATATTCTGTTCTTTCAGCATATATTTCATGCTCTTCGAGCTTTTACCAAAACTTCTATTCAATTTTCTCGATGGTATTAATGCCTTGTTCTTGTTAACCATCTCTTATCACGATGTATTTTTATCTTAGCGTGATGGTTTACTTTGTATGTGCACATCACTACTCACTAGTCAACGATGCCTTATTGCAAATGATGCTTTGTTCGGAAACATAAATATAAATATAGCATTCAGAGATCAACCCATACTCATGTCTTCTATAATTTGAAACTGTCAAATATGACTAATTGCAGATGATGGTTCATCATTTTGTAAAAATATAGCATTCAAAATCAAGTAAAGGTAAGCTAAATATTCTACATGCTCATTTCTTCTAAAATTTGAACTTACAATCAAAGAAATTTCAGAATATATTTAAAGTTTTTAAGAAATTGATGCATTCTTGCAGCGTGCTAGATTGCATACAGGAAAACTTAAAAAGAGTCATCAATTTAGAGTTTTAAAATCATTGCTCAAGTGAACTCATCACACTCTCATTTCTTATTGCACATCCTAATTGCAGAATAAGATTCGTCTTCTATATCATTTAGAATACCTTGTTATATTCTTCATTTTCCCAGTGAATCACACGGTTGGAATTTGGAGAACTTAGAGAATAGATACAATCTAACTATCAACACATTGCTGCATCCGAAAAATGCTAAATTATAGTCGTCTATATGCAAGTATCTATACAACCACCTTTATAGAATGTTTCCGCACAAATAATGATGATAATAGATGTTGATGTTTATACCAAGTATGGTCACACAAGTAAAAGCTAAACTCTGTGATACTGTTCACATGCAAAATAACCTCTCTTCAATTAATATGATAAACAATTTTCCTTCTTCAGTGACATGGGTATGCAGTGGCTACTCTAATTTAAAGCAAACACTTCTTAGTTGCAATATTCTTCACTTTCTAATCAAGTTGGCCAGGAAAGATGCGATATATAGCCTGCATTCATTCAAAAAGCAGTTAGTATTGTCCCAAGATAACCTATAGGTGATGGAGGCACATAAACCCTACTTTTTTGTTTCTTCTCTCATTCTATAGAGTGCTGTGTGTGCTTATCACACACCGACCAACATCCCTCACACACTGACAGGGTCTATGTGTTCGTGTAGTGCCTTCGTTGGCCGCATAATCTGTACTTGATTCGAGCGGTTATGAGATATACTTTTTGGTCTCCACTCTTGGAGGCATCTGCAGCCAATTAATCTGCAGTTACATAGTTGAATAGAGCTTCATCAAAGATCTAATTAGAACAAAACCATGGTCCATGGAATCAATCATTTTGGTCAGGTAGAACACAAAATGTTGGCAACTCTGTTTACTGATTAAATGATATTTACTAGAATAATAATAATAAAATCCTATGTTTCGGGTTTTAAAAAAAAAGAACTAAATTTTGTTGATACAAGCATGAAGTTACTGGCGCAATACTGTGATGCCATCTAGTACAATAAAATCCCTCAACATGCATTATAGCTGGTTATTATATTTACATATTGAAGACACACATACCACAAACCAAAAGAGAGTTTAACATCACTAGAGAGATACTTCAATTTTTTTCCCAAAAAAAAGGAAGGAAAAAAGTATCTTATTCTGATAATATACTTCACTAAACTTGAAAAATCTGAAGCGCATAATGAAATTTGGTTGGTCTTCACCCAAAAGTCATCAAGCGTGATTCATCCAAGAGGAAGAAGCAGATCACTGAAGAGAGTATGCTTCAATGTTTAGATCAAATACTGAGTAATTAAATCAAAGTACATTGCGATTATGTAAGTAATTAGGTTAAAATGGAGTCGATGCATAAATAGATCGATGATCGGTAACATAAACAGAGGTAAAGCAGAACTACCTTGAATCGGAGTTAGGGTTTGGTTGTGGTTGTAGCGGAACTTTGGACGAAAGAAATTAGGGGCGAAAATTTTTCAATGAATTAAGAAAAAAAGGTAAAATTAACAAAAAAAATGGGCGGTTGATGGAAGCCTGCCCTCTGCTCGCAACTATCAGAGCCAGGTTTCGATCCTGGGACCTGTGGGTTATGGGCCCACCACGCTTCCGCTGCGCCACTCTGATTCGTGATGACACGGAACTCCAGCTCGATTTTATTTGAGGACTATCGGTCGTATTATACGAACCCCATTCTCCCCGCGAATGAAAAAGGCGCCTCCTTCGTCGGTCTCCATCAACAGCCCAAATCATGTACGCAAAAACCCCGACAAAACCACCGCCACTAAAATGCACCGTCGCCGGAGCTCACCGCAGCATCAGCAGGACGATCACCTGCACTTCAGCGAACCCTTCACCGATCCTCCGTCAACGTCCCCATTACAAGACTCCGCAGCCCCCAAAGCCCAGCGCCAACATCAACAGTGGCGCCGAAGAGAAAGCCACAGCAAGCGACGTGCTTCGATTGTTAGACACCCTTCAACTCCCCGTCGACGCCGATACTTACAGCTCTCTTATAAAGGAGTGCACTTCGTCGGGCGACGCCGTCGAGGGTGCCCGTGTGCACGCGCGCATCAACAGGCCAAAGGAGAAGAGGAGCGGATGCAGTAAGCGAGACCTCGTTGGCATTGCTAACAGACTGTTGCTTATGTATGCGGCGTGCGACCGGCCGGAGATTGCCCGAAAACTGTTTGATGGAATGCCCATGAGGAATCTGAGCTCATGGGCAACTGTGATTTGTGGTACTTTTGATAGGGGAGATCGTAGAGAGGCGATCGCGTTGTTTTTGGATATGATGGAGTCGAAATCCTTTGCGGTAGAGCCCACCGATACGCTCGCCGTCCTCGTCACGGTAATGATTAGATCCTGTGGTCAAACCGGAGAATTGAGTCTTGGGAAGCAGATACATGGGTTTGCTATAAAAACAGCGATGGCGGCTGAATTGGGTACTTGTTTGGTCCGACTGTATGCGGAACTCAGTTACGTTGAGAGTGCACGCAAAGTGTTCGATAGTATGCTACCAGCAACGATGACAGCTTGCACTTGCTTAATACGGGCTTACTGCAGAAAAGGCCGGTTGAAGGAGGCACTTTGTGTTTTTGGAGATACGTTTTGTGTGATGAGATTGGATGATGATGAGAAGAAGAATGAGAGTGTTTCGAGTGCGATCTCGAGTATTATTGGTGGATGTGCAAAGAGGAAGAGAAAATTTTGTGGGCAACAAGTTCATGCACGTGCGATTAAAGTAGGATTGGAGTGTGATCTTTATGTGGGTACGAGTCTCGTGAATATGTATGGGAGATTTGGGCTGTTGGATGATGCGAGGAGAGCATTTGAGTTTGTTTGTGGCAAAAATAACAAGGAAAAAGATGTTGCTTGTTGGAATGCTATGATTACTAGCTATATAAGAAATGGGTGCTTCACAGAGGCTGAGAAGACTCTGTATCTGATGAAGGCTGCAGGTATTGAGCCCTTGGAGTCTGTCGTGTCTCGGGTTATGATGGCTTGTGGAAGCTAATGATTTGTGTGCAAAGTTAAGGGAAGAACATGTGACAGGTATATTGTACATGTACAGAATGAACGGGTAAATATAGCTCCCTGTGATGATAGACGTCAGCAGCAGAAATAGAGCTTGCAGCATCAGTAATGCACTGAAACTCGAGAGCAGGAAAGTCGAGATGCATTTGAGAGTATCATCCTACAAGCAATCTATTCCTTCTATTCTGAAAAGCTAATTATAACCTTGTTCAACGATGTTAGTAGTGCAAGCTTGTTGATTTTGTTTGTTAATTTATATATGAGTAGCCGCCTGATACATACTAAACATTTTGTAGGTCCTGCTGTAAGAAGGGCATTCTTGGGGGCATTCTGAGATGAGATAAGGTAATGATCTTAAGTAACCTAATTGATGATGTTCTCTGCCCATTTTACGAAGTATTATCCTGTAGCGTATTTTGGAGTAGGCTGGTTATTAGACTCATATGAATAGAATTCTTTTCTTATACCATCCCATTGTTCTTTGTGTCAGAGCATATGACAAGTCACAATATACAGATCAATGGGAAATATTTGTAGTCATAAGCAGCCTAATAGAGGTACTCAGCTTGTAAGTTTAGCCTACTCAGACAAATGTCCTAACCAAAATTCTACAGAATGATTAATATTTGGCAACGGAGAATGCTTAAATTCTACATTACTTGCTTTTTGATAATTAAGTAGACTCAACATATCATTATGACTTTCATATATCCTCAGATTATGCATCTTGGTTTACTAAATATGTCTTACAAATTTAGTTCCTTCTTACATATCACTCTAAGAATGCACATACTATCTGATTAAATTCGCTTTTCATCAAAAAAAAATTTGTGTTCAGCCTGTCCTTCATTGCCAACATACTGAAGTACTTATCTTTTAAGAGTCTGAAGTCTTGATCTCCTTTTCTGTAGTTTAATGTATTTCAATGATTTGTTTATGCTTCTATCCTCACTGAAATGTTCGATGACCAAGATTTATGCTTGGGATTCTCGTTATCAATCCTTTTGGCGTCGTTTTGTATCCTTTACATATGTGTTTTACCTTAATCTAGAGTTCTTTCATTACTTGGTTCAGAAACTGACTAAGATTCTGGATTCTGAATGTCATAGGCGAGCTCCGCTTTTGGGGAAAAGAGAAGGGAAAAAAAAAGAGAAAAAGATAAGAACATGACGAATGAGTTGATACGGAAAGAAGAAAAAGCTTAGGAGCTAATGCCGAGAATCTGAGGGCAATTACCCATTGTTCTACGTCTTTTTTTCTTATTTATTTTTGTCGTGTACACAAATATTTACTAGTTTTTCGGTATATACACCGTATATATTCAATCATATTCTTGGTCTAGGAAAATGCAAAAACGTGATGCTAAAGAGAATCAAATCTCTCTTCTTCTTCTTCTTCTTCTTTTCCTTTTTTTAATTGGGTAAATTTCAGGGTAAGCCCCCCGCTATACCTTCAGTTTTCAGAGTGCTCACCATCTCTCAACTTTGTTATGATCGATTTATTTTTGAAAAGGGAAGTTGCAGACAGCGCTCATCTCCCTCATGAACCAGGGGGGTGATAACTGCAATAAAAGAGTTGATAAATGGTAAGTGCATTTTATTGATGAATGATTCTTGTGTATACAGAATTTGAGAGGGCGAGTGAGATTTCGAAATTATATCATTGTACGCAATAAATCTGATGGCAAGCAAGGTTGAATGGTCAACCTTAGGTTAATTTAATCAGTGTGCAAGTTTAAGAGACCGTTTGGATTAATCCTTCATCTGACTTTATTCAAATATCTACACGAAATCCAAAAAGGGCCTAATTAATAAAATTAGTCACGTGAGATATGGCCATTATTTAGTGAGTTATGGCCAATAATTTCAATTTATGCATGTCATATAGAGTTAAAATGCAAGACCTTTTCAAAAAAAAAAAAAAATTGCAAGACGTTGATGAGAATGATGCATTATGGCGGAAGCCTTGTACTTAGGGTCGGAAATGAATAATATAACTGTAAAAGGTGGCAATAATTGTATTTGCTTAAAAACTTCGAATTTGATTCAGAATCGAATTTCTTTCTCTGGGTTTCTTTGAATCCAAATTTGCACAATGTTTATTGACTATTAAAATAAACTTATTTGATTAATTTCTATAGTCTATGATTAGTAACCAGTTTAATTAGAACTAATTTTTTACATGGTTGGAGAGATGCTTCATTTGGAGAAGAGAAATTGATTTTTTTTTAAAAATAGTATCTTTAAGTTCATATTGGAAATTTTCTTTTTATAACGCTGATATATAAATCTAAAATTAAAATTTTTCGTTTAAAAGAATCGATTTTGGACTTTTAAGACCCCTCAGAATTAGCATAACAAGTAACAACAATGTGTAAGGTGGCTCAAAAAAATAACATAATACCTATAACACAAGTTATAAAGATAAAACTTTAAACATAAATTTGATAAGCAAACGAATCTTACACATAATTCTCATATTTGATTTTTTTTTAATATGCAGATACTAAAAGTCATTTGAATTTTCCTTAAAGATCATTTTGAATTGTAGAAGTATGAGTTTTATGGCTAGTACTAAACAAGCCTCAGTTGTTGGAAAATAACTCTACGAGGAAAAAGAGAAAGTACTTCAGGTATTTACCTATTGTAACCAGGGAAATGAAAATTTAGACAGAGAAAATAATAAGTCAATATAGGAAAAATAGATAGACATGAATATCATATAGATGTTATTTTGAAGTAATCATACTCCACATTCTAAAGTATTTATTGGCAAAAGAGTAAAAATGCTTTAAGCAATTCTAAAAGGTAATCAAAGTTATTTCTATTAAAACTAATTGTAAATTTTGTTGGAGCTGGGTCATTTTGATCAAAGTGATTTCATTATGCTCTATGCATGTTTGTTTCTTCTGATGTGTGACTTAGTAATTAACTGACTCAAGAAATCAATCTTATATTAATCTAGAAAATTACAGGAAGCATGCATGGGAAAATTAAGATGAAATAATCAATTTGAATATTTAAGCTCATATAGAGGTCACTCGTGTATCATCTCCTGTAAAGGTTGTACGGAATACAATTCTCTTACTGCGCCTTCAATCTTCACCTTAAATTCCATTTGATCTCCTCATGTTTCTCAAATATTTTTCTAGTTACAAATCAAAATAGTAGAACCAATATGCAAAATACATTCACATTAGTAGTAGCATGATCATAAAACTAAATTATAGGGTAGTACCTGTCTCAAATAACTTTAAAAAGATGGGAATAGGATAGCTGATTAAAAAATTTATGTGAAGATTATTCTTTTCCACTTTACAACAATCTTCATACTGATTTACTCAAGAATTGAAAAAAGAAAAAGGGAAAAAAAGTATATAATTATTAACAACAATTTATCCATTTCTCTTCATCATAAAGTGTTTAATTATTATTATTATTATTTGCTAGTCAGCTTTAATATTAATTTAAGAATACAACTTAATTATAAATATTAATGGCAAAAATTCATCGCCAATGTATTGTAAAATGGTATTTGGGTCTTTTATATTTAGAAGTCGTCAATGACAGCTCTGATATTATCATTGTCATTATCCCAGGTCCTTTTGACGAAGCTTTCGTTATCTATTACTAAAGTGCTACCGACAAACTTGTAATTTCACTAATTTTTTGCCCGACTAGCCATTGACGTGACATGGTAGAAAATAGTGAAAGTTCAAGTTTATCCCAACATATTTGTAGGATTTGACGGAAGCATGTGAAAATAACAATGACAAAGATCATGTTAGGAACTCTCGTGGTGATTTTCCAACAATAAAGAGCCTACCTCATCTTGACAGTCCCTATCTTCGAAAGCCCAATCCATTCTATTTAGAAAAGCCCAAGAACCCGTTAACACGCCCCAACCCATTATAATGATACATCCTCCGACTTCCCGCCATAA